TTCCTTTCAGCTCACATTTTATACTAGGATCGGGCTCAATTCACAGCCTCAGTTCACGGCCATAAACTCTTGAACGTGTCCGTGAACACTGAGCGTTGTGTCGAAATGCACCACTTCACCATCAGGAGGTCACGGTTTGCACTCACTGCTCACGGTCTTGTTGAACGTGAACTAGCCTTGTGCCAGTAACTGCAGGTTTCTCCCTGGAAGCCTCGCGGTTCACGGTTTTGGGATTCGGTTCACGGCCATAGGAGATCGTGAACTCCAATGAGAAACTGTGATCCTTTCCTGAATCACCCTCTTTGCCCGGTCTTTGCCTCTTTTCGTCCAACTTTCGACTCCGAGGTTGGTTTCACCTGTTGGATCCTGAAACACAATAAATGCACAAAACCTAGCGCAAAACCACCCTTTTAGGAGTTCAAATGCTACAAACGCCCAGGGGAAATGGGTATAAAATGTGTGCAATTAGGCCCGAATCACTCCCCCACACTTAGACGTTTGCTTGTCCGCAAGCAAACCATTTCACACAAGGTGAAAACTCAACCTATCAAAATGCTTTGGGGACAAACCAAATGGCACGAAGTGGAGAATCTCAAATGGCTATTGGCAATTAACACGAGGACCGTTGCCAGGAATACCGACATCCTCCACAAACTACATTCGAGGCTACAAGAAAAACGAGAAAATGAAAAGTTCTCACCTTGTTCATGAATCAATGCAAGTTTCAACAAGATCACTTACCAACCAAAAATAACCATGCATAGAGTTCAAGTCCAAGGAACAAACGGATGGGCAACAAAGGCCCTCACCAGGGTATGATATGACATGGAAAACAAGAATGAATCACTCGATCTTTTGACCAGTGGGGTCAGTACCTTTTTGGTGCAAAAAATGTGCACAATCATCAACTCTCGTCCCTATCGTCTCAACACCACGGAGGCAACCTCTAAATGCTAGAGTTCACGGAATGGTTATCATCACTCGCTTGTCCGGAGGTCTTAGACACGAGTTCAAATGACTGGCGATTGTCTTGAACATGGGGGAAAGGATTTTTGGGTGGTGGAAAACAAATCATGAGGTCCTACATCTTCACCCTAAAACCGAAGGTTCTATGTTTTTGACTAAGAACCTTCCTCACAAACAATGACCACTAGCATCGGCCAAAAACCTTGCTTCTCCCTTCCAAACTATCACCCATCATGAACTTCCCTTTAGCGCTTTTCCTCGATCTACTCTTGCTATCACACTTTGATTTGGTAGTGAAGGAGTTCTAAGACAATGTGGAGGTTTCAATGGCATGTGTGCCTAAAAACCTCACCTAGAGCATACTCTTTGATTCCTTGTGGCACTCTCTATTTTATTGATCCCGTTTTATTAGCTCTTTTTTGTTTCTCTTTATTTTTCTTTCTTTCTACTTTCCTTTTTCTTTCTTTTTCTTTTCTTTTCTTTTTGAGGGGGGTACTAGAGAGTTAAACATTTGTCACACTACTTTCAACGATCAATGCTCTCTTTTTAAGAACACACTCCAACACTACTCTTCCTTTCACTTCCATTCCTAGCAAGAACCGCACACAATCCTCCTATGTAGAACCTCAATGGAGCTCAAAAGCGAGAGCTCCGGGACACAAGGACGACACATGTATAGACACGAAGAAAGGATGGGGGATCGTTCTTTCAACACAATTAAGATCACAAGCAAAAAGCTCCTAACATGAGAACGACCCCCCAAAGTCACAAGGCTCAAGGGGGTTGACTAGTGGATAACTCATTTTAGGACAATCAACATTTGGGTGTGGACTAATTCTATGCCTCCATCATACTCACTAGTGACAACTGTGATGTTACTCGCCATGGTAAGAGGGATCTAAGCACACAAGAAGAAAACGATCGGCTCAAAGCTCACATGGCTACCTAGTCACTCAAGCATCTATTACAATTCACAATGCAACATGCATGGCAATTGTAATCAACAAGTAATCGAGTCAAAACATCCATTAATTTTTGCACACATGAGAACTAAACCTTTGCAATATCCTAATGCACCTCTCAATCATCATCATAGGACGTAGTCGACATGCAACGATTCAAGGTCAATGCCAATAACCACAAGATTCTCCTACAAACCGACCACTTTGATAATGAACATTGCTAGGAGCCCTCGAAATTTTCTAATTTGGGCATAAATCAAGGCTCCAAGCATCAATCACACTCACACAAGCATAATAAAAGACTACCCCCAACACTTAAGCTCGACATTGCCCTCAATGGCGTAAGATAGGGTTAGAACGACGTTGTCGCTTTTCTTGGTGAGTGAAAGTTGGAATTGTTTCCGGGGTAGGAGATTTGGAGCTTCAAGGAAAAGACAAAACACATACACAAACATAGTACGACTCGCTCAAGGCGAGGTTATTACACAACACAATACTATAGTAGTAGTTCAAACTTGCTAACCTTCGTTGGGTTGCCTCCCAACAAGCGCTACTTTAACGTTGTTAGCTAGACGGAGGCTCCGGATTAGGCATCTTGTAGGAACACCACCTCTTTTTAAGATATTACCTCTCCTTCAAGGTAACATTTGAGGTTGTGTCCATTCACTTTGAAAGTTCCTTTCTCTAGGTGGGAGATCTCAACCACCCCGTATGGGAACACTTGCGTTACCACATACGGGCCCGACCATTTCGATCTTAACTTCCTGCGGAACTATCGCAACCGGGAGTTGTATAAGAGCACTTGGTCTCCCGGTTGGAAATCCTTCCCTCCTTTCAGTCGAGCATCATGCAGGCGATTCGTCTTTTCCTTGTAAATTTTGGTATTCTCATAGGCTTGGAGACGCCACTCCTCGAGTTCAAGCACCTGCAACTTTCGTTCATTTCCACACAAAATAGGGTCCATATTCAATAGCTTTGTGGCCCATAAAGCTTTGTACTCTAGCTCTACGGGCAAATGACAAGCCTTGCCATACCCCAATTGGTAACGCGAGATGCCTATTGGTGTTTTGTAAGCCGTGCGATATGCCCATAGAGCATCATCGAGTTTTACCACCCAATCTTTGCGGGATTGATCCACAGTCTTTTCCAGTATCCTTTTCAATTTCCTATTTGATAACTCAACTTGTCCACTAGTTTGAGGATGATAAGCCATTGACACCCGATGGGTAACACCATAGTGATCGAGGAGTATGTCTAATTGCCCCTGAAAATGGGTTCCTCGGTCTCTAATGATGGCCCTTGGGGTCCCGAACCTTGAAAACAGCTTTTTAAGGAATCCACAGAATCGTCTTACATCATTGGTGGGGAGAGCTTGAGCCTCAACCCACCTCAAGACGTAGTCTATGGCCACAAGGATGTATTTGTTACCAAAAGACGAGGGGAAAGGACCCATGAAGTCGATGCCCCAGACATAAAAAATCTCACAAGTAATGGAAATCGTTTGGGGCATCTCATTTCGGTTAGAAACATTACATGTCCTTTGGCAGTTGTCACAATGGCTCACAAATTTGTAGGCATCCTGGAAAAGGTTTGGCTAATAGAACCCCGACTGGAGTACCTTCCTTGCAGTTCGGTTACCTTCATGATGGCCTCCAGCTGGTCCTGTGTGGCGGTGGTTTAGGATATCCATCATTTCCTTCACCGGCACACACCTCCAAATGACCCCGTCGGCCCGAATCTGAAAGAGGTGGGGAACATCCCAGAAGTAGCATCGGAGGTCGGAGAAGAACTTCCTTCTCTCATGTGTATTCATCCCCTTGGGCATTTGCCCTCCAACAAGATAATTCGAGAAGTCGGCAAACCACGGTGTGACACTCTCTACCGCTGTGAGGGTGAATAACCGTTCATCGGGCAAGGTGTCATTTATCTCTCTATGGGAGTTTCCCCCTCCCGGTCCTTCAAGTCGCGAAAGGTGGTCAACGGCAAGGTTCTCGGATCCCTTTTTGTCCTTTATCTCCACATTGAACTCTTGAAGAAGTAGGTTCCATCGGATTAATCCAGGCTTGGCGTTCGCCTTGCTCATCAAGAAGCGGATGGCTGAGTAGTCAGTGTAGACAATAACCTTTGAGACCACCAGGTAAGAACTGAGTTTATCAAAAGAGAAGATCACTGCCAATAACACTTTTTGGTAGTTGTGTAGTTCTCTTGAGCATCATTCAGCGTATTTGAAGCATAGAAAATAGGTTGAAAATGCCTACCCCACCTTTGGCCCAACACCGCTCCCACTGCATATTCACTAGCGTCACACATGAGCTTTAAAGAAAGGCTCCAATCCCGTGAGAATGTTAAAAGCCTCCAAACATTCCTTTGTGAAAAGGAAGGGGGCATCCTTCTCCAAAAGCTTGGTTAGGGGTAATGCAATCTTCGAGAAGTTCTCGATGAACCGACGGTAAAACCCAGCATGTCCAAAGAAGATCTTGATTCCCTTGACTGTGGTTGGTGGAGGGAGTTAGCTTATTGTATCAACCTTGGCTCGATCCACTTCAACTCCTCTCTTGGAGATTTTGTGACCCAACACAATGCCCTCTCGCACCATAAAATGTGACTTCTCCCAACTCAAAGCTAGATTGGTTTCTCCACATCGCTCAAGGACCTTCTCCAGGTTGGCAAGACAGTGAAGAAATGAATCTCCAAAGGCCGAGAATTCGTCCATGAACACCTCCATTATCTCCCCCACGAGCTTATCAAAAATAGCTACCATGCATCTCTGGAATGTTGTTGGGGCATTGCACAATCCAAACGGGATGCACCTGTAAGCAAAAGTTCCGAAGGGGGCATGTAAATGTTGTCTTAGCTTGATCTTCCAGGGCTATTGGGATCTGGAAGTATCCTGACACCCCATCTAAGAAGCATTAGTAATCATGTCCAGCAAGCCTTTCCAAGATTTGATCGATGAAGGGCAAAGGGAAGTAATCTTTTCGGGTGGCATCGTTCAACCTTCGATAGTCGATGCATACCCTCCATCCAGTCACTATTCTTGTTGGTATAAGCTCTTCCTTCTCATTGGCCACCACCTTCATTCCTCCTTTCTTAGGAATCAACTGAGTTGAGCGCACCCACTGACTATCCGAAATGTGGTGGATAATCCTAGCATCCAATAGCTTAATCACTTCCGCCTTCACCACTTCCTCTAGGTTAGGATTCACACGCCTTTCCGGTTGTCAAACCTGTTTGGCACCCACCTCCAAGTAGATTTTGTGCGAGCAAAAGTCGGTCTCATCCCTCAGATATCTGTAATCTTCCATGATATCGCCCTCTTGTGACGCTTCAGGACCGCAATCAATTCAGCCTTCTGCTCCGGTGTAAGATTTGAGTTGATAATGACTGGGAGTTTCCTATCATCCCTCATAAAAGCATACTCAAGATGTGGAGGCAGAGGCTTTAGCTCCAACTCGGGAGGTTCCTCTAACGAGGTAGAGATTTTTGGCATCGAGGGCAAGGCCTCCACTTCTTGATCTTGCGGAAGTTGGATTTCCTCTTCCGGAGAGTTCGAGCTGTTCATCCCTACCAAACAACACTCTTCAAAAGCGCCAAAACTATGGGTAGCCGCGGATGCGAGTGCCTCCATGAAGTCAAAGACATCTTCGCAATAATCAAAATCATCATGATGGTGAGAGAACTTCATACTATCATCAATAGAGAATGTAAATTCTTCCTCCCCTGTCCTAAGCACTAACTTCCCCCCATTCACATCAATCAAGGCCTTGGCGGTTGCTAAGAAAGGTCTACCCAAGATAAGAGGGACATCCATGTTTTCACTAATGTCTAAAATGACCAAATCGACTGGATAAATGAGAGGGTCCACCTTAATGAGCAAGTCCTCCACGACCCCCTTAGGCCGTACAATAGACCTATCCGCCAACTAAATGTTAATCCTAGTAGTTCTAGGTTCACCTAGGTCTAGCTTTTGAAACAACTTATAAGGCATCACATTTATACTGGCTCCTAGATCTACCAAGGATTTCCCTATGCACATGTTTCCAATAAAACAAGAAATAATGAAACTCCCTGGATCTTTGCGCTTTGTGGGCAGGTGGTTCTGCAAGATGGCAGAGCACTCTTCATTCAAGCTCACCGTGGCTATCCCCTCCAGCTTCTTCTTGTTGGAAAGGAGGTCATTCAAGTATTTTGCGTACTTGGGCATCTGGACGACAGCCTCCATGAAAAATAAAACTAGTTCATCAACTCCATAAACTGGGCAAACTCTACTGCCATCCGGTCATTTCGGAGTCGAGAAGGATAGGGAAGAGTTGGAGCTTCCTTTTCCTTTCTTTGCATCGGTTTGGGGATTGAAGCAGCCTTTTCCTTTTGTGTTTCACTCGTGACCTCCTATTGCTCGGGAGGGCTACCAGTCCCCTGTTGCTCCTCCGAGATGAGCGCTTTCCTCTTCGGGGGTAGCTCCCTGGCCTCTCTTCCACTTCGAAGAGTAACTGCTCCCACTTCCATTTCATCGGCTTGCTTCCGAGAGCGAGCTGCTTGTGAGATAATCCCTACACATGTGGTCAGGGTTTTCAAGAGTGTTTGATGACTCTGCAACCCAACCTCCATGGTTAAGAATTTCTTTCTCGCCTCTCCTATGAACCTGACAATTCTTTCAAACTTCTTCGATATGGAGGGACCAAAGGTCATCACTAACTCCTCCAGGTTTGACATCAGGTCGGCATGCCCAGGGGTAATGGAGTACATCTTCTCCCATTGAGCCGGTTCCCCACTCACCATGTGACACTCAGCTTCCCCCTGTTCCGCATTTGCACCCCAGCCACTAGATGTCACTACTCTCTCCCCTTGCTTCTTATCCTCAATGATCACTTCAATCAACTTACCAAGTTTTGCCTCAAGTGGAGCACTCGCTCCCACACTCCTTACTCTTCTTTCATTGCTCCTCTTCCCGCTTCTCGTCAAACCCCATCATATCCTTTAAGGGCCATATCTTCTAGCAATTGGGTCACTTGTGGCAGGGTCATATTCATTAGCCTCCCTTGACAAAGAGAAACAATGAGGATCTTGTCTTCATGTATGAGCACACCGTAGAAAGTTTCAATCTGAAATTGTTCTTTGAACCCATGGTGAGGGTATTGAAGAAAATAGTCGGAGAATCTCTCCCAAGCATCCCTCAAGGTTTCATCTTCATCTTGCTCGAAATGGGTGATCTTCTTTCTCCACTCGGCTGTCTTCAAAGGCGGGCAATGGCGGGTCATAAATTTGTTGAGAATATCATCCCACGAGGTAATTGAACGAGGCAGCCGGTTGTTGAGCCATCGAAGTGCCTTCCCCGCAAGTGAGTAAGGGAAAAGCCTTAGTTGCAAAGCTTCCGCCGGAACGCCATTAATCTTCAAACTCCCTGCGAGCTCAATAAATCGTTGCACGTGCTCACTCGTTGATTCACTTGCGAGCCCATGGAACAAAGCATTGTTCTGAATCATTGTCACGAGGGCCGGCTTGATTTCGAAGCATTGTTCTGAATCATCTAATAATGCTACCCATAATGTAGCCCATAAGTGCACCATTAAGCTCTCATTTAGGTGGAGAATCCTAGGAGCATCTCTATGCTACTTGTCACGACCTTACTCTCTATCGTGCGGCCCTAGCTCTCAATTCCGTTAGAGCGCTAGGCAGCCTTTCTCTCAACTCACTTGAAAGCAAAGAACAAGAACAAAGACAAAGGAAGTGGGAGAACTCTCTAGTGTGTATTACTCTCAAAAATGATGGAATGAGTTACAAGTGAGGGAGATGGCTCCTTATATAGGCCTCTCCACATACAAGGCATCAATGCCCCCTCATAATGGTCCCTCTACATCAATACACCCCATAAAGTCCCCCCATAATGCACTCTAATAATGCTACCCATAATGTAGCCCATAAGTGCACCATTAAGCTCTCATTTAGGTGGAGAATCCTAGGAGCATCTCTATGCTACTAGTCTTCCATGCATGCCACATGTGCAGCCGCCTTGTTGTCACCTTGTTGGCGCCATGTCATCTGCCACATGTGACATCCTCCCCCACCTATGCTCACGACGCCCTCGTCGCGTCCTCTTGATGGAATGCCTCGATCAAGTCCTTGTTCTTCCAAAGTGTGAGCTCTTTCTCCCATGTTGCTTCACTCTCCGGAAGGTTGCGCCACTTGACTAAGTACTCCACAAAGCTTGGATGTACGCCGCGACGAGGAATGACACGACGCGCCATGATTTCTTCGACTTCATGGTCGTGTGTCTTGGTGACGAGTGTTGGTGCGCGCTGCGGCTCCCTTCGCTGCTCGTCCTCCTTGTCTTCGTGGTATGGTTTGAGTTGGCTCACATGAAAGACCGGATGGATCTCCAAGTGCGTCGGCAGCTCTACCTTGTATACCACATTGCCAATCCTCTTCACGATGGGGAATGGCCCTTCATAGCGGCGAAGCAGTCCCTTGTGCACGTTCTTGAGATGCTTGAAGCGATGAGGGTAGAACTTGACCATCACCATGTCTCCCTCTTCAAACTCCAAGTGCCGCCGCTTCTTGTCCGCCCATTTCTTCATCTTCTTACTAGCGCGGGCTAAGTAAGATTTGGCCATCTCCATCTTCTCGTGCCAACCTTTAGCGAACTTGTAGGCCGCCGGACTGTTGCCTCTATACCCCGTTGCCACCGTCGTAGGTGTCAAAGGTTGCTGCCCCGTCGCCAACTCGAATGGACTTGTGTTGGTCGACTCGCTGCGGTGTAAGTTGTAGGAGAACTGTGCCGTGTCCATCAACTTCACCCAATCTCGTTGGTTTGCACTCACGTAGTGCCGTAAGTACACTTCCAACAAGGCATTCACCCGCTCCGTCTGTCCGTCGCTTTGAGGATGAAATGTCGTCGAGAAGTTCAAGTTTGAGCCCATGATTTTGAACAACTCTCGCCAAAATCTGCCCGTGAAGCGCCCATCTCTGTCGCTCACGATGCTGCTAGGAATGCCCCAATACATGACCACGTTCTTGAAGAATAGCCGTGCCGCATCCTCCGCCGTTAAGTCTTTTGGCCCAGGAATGAACACTCCATACTTCGAGAATCTGTCCACCACAACCATGATGCAACCGCATCCATCGACTTTGGGAAGTCCGATGATGAAGTCCATGCTCACACTCTCCCATGGTCGTTGAGGCGTGGGCAAGGGCTCTAGCAAGCCTGCCGGGCTTCTCTGCTCCATCTTGTCTTGTTGGCACACAAGACAAGTCTTCACATACATCTCCACGTCGTCTCTCATACGCGGCCAGAAATATGCTTCTTCGATGAGCGCTTGCGTTCTCTCGATGCCGGGATGGCCCGCCCACTTGGAATCATGGCACTCCTTTATGATCTCCTTCCTCAAGTTGGCCCATCTTGGCACGAACATCCGCTCTCCCTTGGTCATGATGAGCCCATCCTTCATCCAAAACCGCCGAGTTTTACCTCGCTCAATGTACTCCGCTACGGTCTTGGCAAAGGGGTCATGGCCAAGGCCTTCAACGATCCGCTCCTTCAAAGGAAACGTGGGCTGGCTGATGCTTGCGGCTGCACTCTTGCGGCTAAGAGCATCGGCAACGGAATTCGCCTTGCCTGGATTGTACTCCATAACGAAGTCGAACTCGGCCAAAAAGTCTTGCCACCTTGCTTGCTTAGGGGTGAGCTTCTTCTGCGTCAGAAAGTAGCTCGTTGCCACGTTGTCCGTCTTCACAACGAACTTTGACCCCAACAAGTAGTGCCTCCATGTGCGCAAGCAATGCACCACGGCCGTCATCTCCTTCTCTTGAACGGTGTATCGCCTCTCCGTCTCGCTGAGCTTCCGACTCTCGAAGGCAATGGGATGCCCATCTTGCATCAACACGCCCCCGATTGCAAAGTCGGATGCATCGGTCTGCACTTCGTAGGCCAACGTCGGGTTGGGGAGCACGAGCACGGGCTCCTTCATCACCGCTTCTTTCAAGGCCTCGAACGCTTCTTGGCACCTTTCCGACCAATCCCACGCCTTGTTCTTCTTCAAGAGATCTGTCAAGGGTGCTGCAATGTTGGAGTAGCCCTTGATAAACCTCCGATATTAGTTGGCAAGGCCGAGGAATGACCGCAACTCTGGCAAGGCCGGTCGTGAGTCCATGTAATACCAAATTGTCATCGGGGATTCTCCTCTGCATCCTCCTCGTTGTGGTTGTGAGCTTGGGTGGCGGCTCCTTCTCTTTGGTTCTCTGCCATCTCAACTCCAATATCAACTTCTCCTTCAAATTCTACTCCACTAACTCCGGGACGCAACTGTTGTCCCCTTTCTTCACTTCTCCTCCTTGCTTCCGCTAACTCCCTCTCCCTAGCTAGGATTCGGAGAGTCCGGTTGATATTCTCGTCAAGCGGTACTAAGGGCGCCGGATTGCTCCGGGTATGCACCTCCCTGCACACACTTAGAGAACAAAATCAAGTCTAGCACAAGTAAAGCACTCAAACAAACAAAGCTGAAAATTAAAAGCTAAATTAACACCAAACAACTTTTTCAAGATAACGGACCAAAGCTCCCCGGCAACGACGCCAAAAACTTGACTCGTCCCGAATATCACAATAAATTCCCACCTAGGCAAGTATGTTTAAATATCAACCCGGGTCGATCCGTGTACCCCTACTTCCATTGTTTGAAGCATTATCTAGAGAATTGGTTTTTGGTTGAAAACTATAAGATTTAAATCAAAACAAAGAAAAGGTAAATGGTTTTAAAGCTCTAGATGAGAAGGATCACTCGGATGTCGCTTCCCCCTAACTACTACCATGGCACGTGGAATCGAATTAATCGTCATGGGCAAGGTGACTGCGAACCGCTAGGAAATGCAACTATGGTCGTAGACCACACTCACGATTGCCAAACCAAGGGATACATTATAGGCTACTCAAGTAGCCCTCTTGGTTAAGGCAATCGAGTGTTGACTTACTCTCTCTCTCGACACAATGGTTGGACGGCTTAATTGCACTTAACCAAATTGTTTAATTTAAGATGGAGGTTTGCCCTACATTAACCTAGATAGGTGGCTTAGAAGCCCAAGGAATCCCTACTCAATTGAGCCTCCTTTGAAAGGGGGTTTTCCCTCTAAACTAGGTTAGAATGACCAATTGGATTGCTAAGCACAAACATGACAATCGTCATGAAAAATACCTCAATCATTAAATTAAAAAACACTCGTAAACAATCATTCAATTCACACAACAACTACATGGAAAATAGTTAGGGTTTCACAACATCCAAGTGAAAAAGAGTACTACTCCATGCTAGAAAGGGGAAGAACACAAGAGAAAGATGTAGAAACCATCATAGTGATGCCTCCAATCTCCTCTAAGCTTGTGTTGATCTTCTCTTGGGGAGATTCTTACCAATTGACCACTTGGAGCAAACCCTAGCCTTCCTTCTTCCTTGGTTCGTCCTTTCTCTCTCTAAAATCCGAAGAAAAAGACATCTTCTCACTCTTGGGCTCCCCCTCTCTCTTCCTTTCAGCTCACATTTTATACCAGGATCGGGCTCAGTTCACGGTCGTGAACTCTTCAACGCGTCCGTGAATACAGAGCGATGTGTCGAAACGCACCGCTTCACCATCAGGAGTTCATGGTTTGCACTCAATGTTCACGGTCTTGTTGGCCGTGAACTCGCCTTGCGCCAGTGACTATAAATTTCTCCTTGGAAGCCTCGCGGTTCACGGTTTTGGGCTTCAGTTCACGGCCATAGGAGACCGTGAACTCCAATGAGAAACTGTGAACCTTGCCTGAATCACCCTCTTTGCCCGGTCTTTGCCTCTTTTCGTCCAACTTTCGACTCTGGGGTTGGTTTCACCTGTTGGGTCTTGAAACACACTAAAACGCACAAAACCTAGCGTAAAACCACCCTTTTAGGAGTTCAAATGCTACAAACGCCCAAGGGAAAACGTAGATAAAATGTGTGCAATTAGGCACAAATCAGCAATTAATGCAGAACTCCAATACTGGAACCAGATTCCAGTAGAAAGCATTGAATTGACTAACTATCGTATAATCAATTCACTCCTATCGATTGAAGAAACTTTAACAACCTATTCAGATTCTATCTATCACAGGTTGTAGCAGAAATCAAATGAAGTTGATCGGGATTCAATTGACTCAATAAACACATTTCAATCAATTATAATCAAACAGTATATCATCCCAAAAGTTATTATTATCAATATCTCTAACACATTGAACTAGGGTTCTTCATACCCAAGTGAGAGAAAGGTCTACTCCGTAGAGAGAGAGAGAGAGAGAAACAGATTAATCATACAAAAATTGTTCAACACCAATCTAGATTACTCAAGAAAATTGAAGCAAAACACAAATTATCCATAAACAACATGATTAATTGAAAGCTTATTCCTCCTTATCAATTAAGTTTCTTCACTCTCCACTCGATAATATCCACTTCATTCTGCACAAATAGAAAGAAAAAATTAGACATGTCTACACAAATATAAAGAAGATTAGTTGCTTATAATATTAAATATACACAAAAAAGAAAAAATTAAGTATATGGGTGTGGACGAATATACATGAGGCAGGTATACCTAAACCCAACCCAACTCGATGAATAGTGAACAATTTTAAACCCGTACCCGGTCCAAAACCCGTCAACATGAATTTTACCCGTGTTGATCATATTGGATTGGGTAAGGTACCCGTGAGTTCGGGTTTTGTTACCATCCCTAATTTCATTCCCACCAAGGTTGTCAAACCGGTTTATACCGTTGTGCCGGTTTGGCAAGTGGAATGGTACGACTGGTGGTATAACCAGTTTGTGCCGGTTCATGCCGGTTTAAAAAAATGTGAAAACAATTAATATCCAATGTATTTAATCATATATAAAACATATTTGTGAACAATTTAGTTACAATGCAACAATTATCATCAACTTTTAACTATTACATTCATGAAATGAATAATAAATTATTATTTTTATTCATTAAATTCATTAAAATGATGTCATTAAACTTAGATTGCGTAAGTCGATCATACCGGTCATACCGGTGGTGTCATACTTTCATGACCGGCACAGGTTGAACCAGGTTCAACCGGGTGGCATGCCACCGGCATGAGCCATGATTCCCACGCATCCAAAGGAAGTAGGGATGGCAATAAAACCCATGGCCGCGGGTATCCGACCGCCCCCGACCCAGTCAACGCGGGGAATCCCCGCTTTGACCGGGTATGGGGCGGGTATGGGTAAAACCCGCAAAAAGTTTGATGGGTATGGGGCGGGTATGGTTTTGACCTCCCCCGCCCCATACCCATACCCGCCCCACCAAGAGAATTTCTTCACATATAAAAAATATGTGCATTAAATTGTAATCTATCAATGGTGATGAGGATAACTCAAGGAAATAAATAGTAGAAATGCAATTGAGTGACCATTTTAATCAAAATCTAATTCATTTCCCTCAATTCTCCTTTCACTCTTTCACTTTTCCCCTTGTCTACAAGATTATTTTAGTTAATTATTACTTAGTAGATGTATAAGAGTTAGAAGATAATAATTTGAAAAATATTATACTATATATTATGTATTAATGAATGTTTTAGGATCATCTACTTTGAACCGTATTAAGAAAATGATCGTGTTTTGTTGACTTCATGATATAATAGGTTCGTTTAGAGTAATAATTAAAACTTTTCTTGTAAATTTTAGGTATAATAATGTTGGATGTATGGGTACGGGTATTACCCATGGGTACTCGAAACTCACGGGTATGGGGATGGGTTTTCAAAACAATCCCCCGCATGGATATGGAGCGGGTATGGGTTTGGGTATTTGAAGATGAAGATGGTTTAGACAAATCCGCCCCAAACCCGCCCCATTGCCATCCTTAAAAGGAAGTAAGTGTTAGTAATGAGAAGGAGATGGGGGAATGAAAAATACTTTTCTACTTTGCGGACCAGTATGGAATAAAGCCTGAAATCATTTTGCACCCCAGTCCCCACCATGAGTTCGGTTCCCCCATCCCCCCAGATTGAGACACGCGTCCGCCCCGAACTTGACACCCATGGAATCTTTCCTACTAACTGGTGGGTCACATCCCAAGGCAAAAGTCACAATCATTCTACGTGTATTTTAGTGAGAAGCGGGACCCACCGCATGACAGTGACCTCGTGGAAAATCACTGGTGAAGAAACCCATCATTTATTTAGTAGCATAAACAATACCCTAATTAATAATGGTTGGGGAAAATTATTATTTAAAGCAATCTCCCCAATAAACAATTCAATCAAATAAAATGAGAATCGGAAAGGGGGTTGTTGTTGATAATACTATGGGCAAATAATCAATTGGTATAACCAATATAGTTGATCAACCATTCTTTTACTATCTTGCCGTATAGTTGAAGAAACTTAGTTTTTTTTTTTGTGGGACTTGAAGAAACTTAGTTGAAGTGACTAAGTTTAAAATGGGAATACGCATTACTTTCCAAGAAATGAGTATTCTTACAAAAATAATTCAAATTCATTATTTGTGAAGTTATATTTTATTTTTATTTTTTAAACCTTAATTATTTTTATTTTCTATGATAGTTGTATTTGTTTGGGTTCTAACGTGCTTCTAGTCAAAGAGATAACAAAAATATTAGGCTCTACAAGACTCATGATTTATTTTTTTCGTGTCGGGATGACCCATAGATGTCATGCTCGTGCTTTTGTGGTTCCCTAACTTATCATGTCTTACCGTACCTGTCCTTTCTAATGTTGTGTACATATATAAAATCTATACATCTTATTACTTCTTGACCATATTGAACTTGCCAATGCTATATTTAATTATATTATTGGTTCTTGCATTTTTATCTTCAAAATTAATGATCGGCCACGACATAATCCTCAGCTGCCTATTCAGATCTAAACAATCCCCCCGTTCAAAGAAAAGCAAGTGAAGAACAATCGGCCACCCAAACGAACAGCCCCACCCCTCATACATTTCACCAGGGTTCAAGAAGGCGCGCCTAGGCGCACGCCTAGGCTCAATTAGGCGTTAGGCTATGGAGGATCGCCTTGACTTGGCCATAGGTATTGTAAAAGGCGCTGGTAGCGCTTAGTAGGTAGGAATAGCGCTTAGTTTGCGCCTAGTGGAGAGAAGGTGTGCCTGGGCGTTCCTGGGCGAGCTTAGGCGGTTAAACCCAATACTCTTCGTTTTGTTCTAGAAAATCAGAAACACGGGAAGTAACACCTGCTGCCGCCCTAGCTCTCGCCCCATCTGCTACCGCCTGCCGCCCTAGCTCTCGCCCCATTTGCTGCTCTCTGCCGCCGCCGGAGAAAGTCATCGGTCACTCTTCTCGCCTTCACACCGCTCCGCTGCTATAGTGGGAAATAAAGTCGAAACTCGTCAATTGCTGCTCCTTTCTTCTCCTCGGTACGTAGCACAATCTTCTTGCCTTTATAAGCACCTATAAGCAGATGATGGTCACTATTTGCTTGTTATTTGTTATGTTAAGTGTTTACTGATAAGAACTAGGCATTGCTAATTTTATATGCACTTGGATTATATGAATTATTCCAGAAAATAGGAAATATTTGAGAATTTTTTCATTTATGCTATAAACACCTAGGCGCGCCTAGAGTATGCCTAATCGGACCTGCCTTACGCCTAGCGCCTTTTAGAACCTTGCATTTTACATTAAGCGAATTTCATTATGCATGATCGTAAGTGGTGGTGGACAAATTAAATTAGTATAAAGAGCGGTGAAAGCAACTATTAATTAAATAAATCATAATAATGATAAAATGCAAATCAGGGGGCGATGGCTGCTTGTTCTTTTTTCTTTTCTTCAGCTCCAGCCCACCCACTCCAACTCTCTAGTCTATGTCTATGATAATAAAATAATAGTAATAATAATAATAATTGAAGGGGCAGCATCAGCAGCAGCGCTGAGAGCTTTTTTAAAAGGAGAGTAGGAGACCCATTCCCCATTCCCAATTCAATCATTCATTTTCCCCATTCCCCGTTTATACTCTCACACACATCAAACTCTGCAGTCTGCACATCTCTTACCCTTCCCCTCCAAAATTCCACCGATCCAAAGCAAGCAAAGCTACTAGCTAGCTAGTAGTGGGTTTCCGTTCCGTTGAACTAATCTCCCAAACGTCTCCGCGCGATGGTAGTGAACAAGATTAGCCAGGGCCGACCACACAGCATCATGATCCGGAAATTATCGGAACTGCTCGTTCCTGGCAAGCACCGGCCGGCGGCGAGCGGAGGCGGATTCGGGTCCGATTCGTCCCCTGCCACCACCAGCCCCCGGAGTCCACTGGACTTCCCCAGAATCCAGTCCCCGAGAGGGCTAAAGAATTTCGACCTGGGTGGGGTCGGGCTGGGAATCGTGGCCGCCCTCGAGAATTCGGTCTGCTGTGCCCCGAAATCGGGCCCGATTCCGGTCGGTTCCAGGCGTTTGAGAAAGGGAATCGACGACGATGAGAAGTACAGTACTCGCCGCGGTGGAGGCGAGGTCGGGCGGACAGTCCCAGCTCCGGCGGCAGGGAATCTGGTGGAAGAAATTGGGGGCTTCCTGAATTGTTGCCACCTGTGCAACAAGCAGCTGCAGGGCCTAGATATATACATGTACAGGTACTACTAGATTCTTTTTTCGGTGGATTTGTTTCCAGTTGGTTGGACCAGTGAGAAGAGCGATGACTAATGGGTTTTTGTTGTTGAATTTACAGAGGGGAGACGGCCTTTTGCAGCAGCGACTGCAGATCGAGTCAAATAATGACTGACGAACAACAACAGAAGAAGCAGAAGAAGAACAAGTGCAGGAGGGAAGTTGGGAGAGCTGTAGCGTCGGTCTCAGGGAAGAGCAGCACTAGTCCGCCCATCTTTTCAACTGGGATTCTCGCCATCTGATGACACGAGTTGATCCATAGTTTTTGCAGCGGGAGAAGAAACATGATTGATTAGCAAGCAGTCTGATATCTCATCAACAAAGATGGGGAAAAGGCAAGTAAAAAAGTGACAGAAACAACGGGAAAGTAAAAAAGAAAGAGAACCAAATTTTGTCCGGATGGTTGGAACCAGCAGAGTAGCAGTAGTTTATGTGTGAAGATGTAAAGCGCCAAACTTTTTTCTTTCTTGTTTTTGCTTTTTTTTTCCGAAGAACATAAAAGGGAAGCTCATACTTTTCACTTTGGGGAAACAGACCCACCGCACGCACCATCTCTCTTACTTTACTTACTGCTTGGGTCCTGTTTTTGAGTTCTGGAAAGAGGATTGAAGCTTCTCGACGATTGATTCCCAGTCCAGCCTAATCTTCGTCAAACCAGAGAGAGTAATAATAAACTAAATAATAATAATGATGATGACGAGGAGTCGAGGAACGATCATAACTGCAAAGCAGCCCTGGTTTAGCACTGACGACTGGGGAAGAAACATCCTTTTTTTTGCCGCTTGAGTGGAATGGATCGGGATTGGAAGGGTCGCATCCGTCATTCATGATCGACATCTAAAGCGAAACATTTGTTCCCACTCACCCCCTCGAAAGGGTCCACAAAAGCACTGCTAGTCGTTGGTGTTGTAATCAATCTCCTTCAACCAGCTCATACCGTCGCATTGCATGTTCGAGTTTAGTGATCTCCCACCGTGACATAAAATCACTGCAAGAAATCTGGAAAGCAGCCCACAAAATTGAAACGATGGTTTAGGGAGGAGATAGAACAAAGGAATCGAAGTCCAGTCAGGGAGAGAGCAGCTGCGGCGATGGGGGGATGCGACTTGACGAGGAAGAAGGGCTTCCCAAGGGTTTCTCTTCCATGGGCCATTCACATGGGCCTATTTCTCGAAATGATCACCCAGGTGGGACTCTCCCATGGGTTTCCAAGCCCAGTCAGCTTCTTATGAGGCTAATTTCTCTCCTCCGACAAGGAGATCGTGATGTGGGTCGATCTAAAAGGAAAACATAGGCTTCGGGCCCGATGTTCAATCAAGGCTCTCGTTGTAGAGTGTAGACAGTAGTGGGAAATAGAATGAGCGGAGGGGAACATGAACAATAGATAATAGTCAAGTTTTAAAAAGTATACTAAAAGAGTCATTCTTTTACCCTCTGTTTTTTAAGAAGAGAAAGGGAGGGGAAGGGAAGGGAGGGAGAGAAATTCCAGAACCCAATAACTTTTCTCTCGTTCTCCAAACTTGTTACAGGACCGGAGGGAAGGAAAATGTACTGTTTTATCTGACCCTCCAATTTGGGAGGAAAGCCACCTTCTCAAGCATTTTCCTATTTTTCATTTTTTTTTCTTGCGTTTTGTTTTGCTTTCCACCACGTTGGATGGGTAAGCGATTTATGGAATTTTATTTTATGGTCATATATTATAAGATTATTTTCTCGTGCGTTGCCTATTTTCCTTTTTCGTTTAAGTTGTATTTGTGTAGGGATGTGTGATAGCAGTGAAATAAATGACAAAAATTGTTAATTTATATTTTATTAGCACATATATTGCATTTAACGTGGAGAAAAATTAGGAGATGTGATAATTACTAATTCATTGTTTTTAGGGTTGAAGAGATAATCTTCGACTAATTTTGGAGGACGATAATTAAATTAGTGAAGTCCGTGTGTATTATTTTAGATTGCTTACTTAACTACGTAAACTTCTAACATGATATTATGTACACTACCGACTTAGATGACAGTAGACGATTTTTACGGTCCAACTGACGATACACGAAAGAAAAATATTTATGGCTAACTATGATGCTAGACAATTCTACTCTTATTTGTATGATATCTTTGTGTATCATTATATAATGGTGACAAATATTTTTCTCACCGGATCATGGTCAAAACATCTATTTTTGTATTTTAATAATGAACAAAATTAACAAGGAATAATGTATTTGATCCAATTACGTGGAACGTAAATATGTGTTAAGTTTCAAGTATAACGACATCAGAGTGTTACATTTTTTAAAGAATGGACGTTATCTTGTACTACAAAAGTAATCAAATTTGTATGAAAAATAAAAAAGAGTTAAATGAACAATTTATGTTCCGTTAACAAATAACAAAATTGATCATGGTTATGTAGAAATTGGTTATTCATAATATTTATTTTCGCATTTTTTGCATATACTTACTATTACATAATCAATAAAACAACATATCTATCACACTTCCCTATATACTTTTTTCCTTTCACTATCTCTTTCACTTTCCCCCATAAAACAACATTTTCTCTCCAATTCCCTTCCCCTCCAATTTTCCTTCCCATCCAAGTTTTCCCTCCCCTCCCCTCCCCTCCCCTCCTTTTCCTCTCCTACTTCGGAAACAGGGGGTTAATAACTTTAACGACATCATCACCACATTGTTAAAAGGGTCATTACTATTTTCAAATGACTTGTCTCTTTGGATTTAAAAAAAAGTTATAAAATAAAATAATTATTAATTGACCATGCTTTCATATGTAGACACCACCAACTCAACCCACCCATTTATTTCACCTTGTTCATCTTAACTCCAGTGAGATCCTAATCCCCGGCCACCAGTGTCAAGCCCTACCCTCGCGAGCTGGTTTCTCAGTTTTTTATTGCATTTCACTTGGACGACCTCAGTTGTAGGTGAATGAATCTTGCCATTCTATGAAATCATATCTTTCTTCTCTGGTCTGATCCCCTCCGTTCCATGCTTCCAGTTGAGGATTGCATTTCATAAAAATTAAAATAGAGGCCACAGCAGTAGAGACCATTGTGAAGAGAGCAGGAGAGGATGGATCGTTGAGAGAGAGAGCAGTTCGTTAGAGGCAAGAGGGATCGTCGCAGAGGAGAGACCCAATCTGCCCTCCAATCCAAACACCACATCATCTAACATTTCCAATTCCTTCACTGGCGCTAGATCCATCTTTGAAAATATCTCCTCCTAGTACCAATGCTTAGCCCAATAAGCTCTCTCTGAAGCAGAATCTGTTCCCACCCTCTCCTCCATATCCCAATCCCACTTTCACAATCGCTCGAGAAGGGGATCTAAAGGTATATATGAGCAAGGCAATAAGATGGTGAACAGAGTAGACGAACCAGACGACACGCATCTTATTGAAGAAGTCAAAATAAAACCCAAGAAGTTGAAATAAGAGACACGGGAATTGAGCTCCACCATGAAGAACCAAATGAAACAACGAACCAGACGAGTCCAGCGGCCACTTCCGTCAAGCTTGTTGCTGATAGAACCAAGATGCCTTGCTGAAGATTGTTAGAAGAGTAGAAAAAAGCAGAATCAGCTGCAATTTGATACTGTTGTTTTCGGTAATCCTTATTACCTTAACCCAAATGAAAACATGTCTCAATCTTTTGTTGTTGAGCCTTTTGATGGGGCAAATTATGTGATATGGAGTAGATATGTACAAGTAGTACTTAAAATGAATAATAAAGTAGGATTCATAGATGGGTCTATCCTGGTTCCTTCTAGAGATGCAAATCTGTTTAGTCTGTGGGATGCTTGTAATACAGTGGTTCTTTATTGGCTTCAGAACTCGATGACAAAGGATGGCGATCAGTGTTAAATCACACAAATTCTAAGACATTGTGGGATGGATTGAAGAGGCGCTTTGGCCAACCCAATGCCTTAAGAATTACAAACCTTGAAGATGAAATTCAAGCATGTAAATAGGGTTCCAGATCTATCAATAAATACTATACAACTATCAAGGGGCTTTGGGACGAGTATGTAGAGTTCTGCCCTATTACTCCATGTACTTGTGATCTTGGAAATCCCATGCCCTATGTAGCTGTAACTGCCTTTGTGTAAAAGCAGGAGACAGATTACTTGACTCGTTTCCTGAGAGGGCTCAATCATGAGTATGAACAATCATAATATAGAGGATTGTTGGAAACTGAAGAGGAAACAAGAGATGCAAAGAGATGGTAATGGTAATGGAGGATCCACTTCCAGTTCCAGTTCGAACACTAGCACACCAAGGTATGCAGGTTCTATTTCACAAGGAAGTGGGAATGAGAGTGCATCAGAGGGCAGTGTGACCAATGAAGGTAAGCCTCCAGCTCTACTTGCATTCACACCTGAAGAAATGAATTGCCTCAGGTATCTATTGAAAGCTGGTGCTAGTACACATCCCTCACCACCTACATCCCCATCTATCAACCATCAAGCCTATTCAGCCACCCAATTTCCTTCTTCCTTTCCCAACTTTTCAGGTACACATGTCATGTCTTCTTCCAAAAACTGCAAAACACATGATCTTACCCTATGGATTGTAGACACAGGAGCCTCTGATCACATAGCATGTAGTCTTAATCTCTTCTCTAACTATAAGCCAGTTCATGATGCTTTTGTTTATCTTCTAAATAGCACAAAAGTCATAGCCACATGTATTGGGATAGTACAGTTGGATTGTGGTTTAACCTTGCATGATGTTCTACTTGTGCCACAATTTTCCATTAATCTCATCTATGTTAGCAAGCTTACCCATGATAACCCTTATTTCTTACATTTCCATTATGAAAAATGTGAAATTCAGGACCTTTAAAGCCAGAAGAGAATTGGTTTAGCCCACACATCTAGAGGCCTCTACTAACTTGCCATTCCCTCAAGACCAAACAAGCCTTCCCCACAAATTCATCAACACCAAGCAGCCACCCTTTCAAATTCACTCCCCAAGACTTGAACCTATGGCACTGGAGACTAGGGGACATAGCCATGATAGATCGTTTTTGCTTAGTAATGTGATTACCTCATTTACCAAAACTAAGACCACTCATTGTGATGTATGTCATTTGTCCAAACAATGTAAACTTCCTTTCCTTGTTAGCACCAGTATTGCACCTGAGGCTTTTCATTTAGTGCATGTGGATATTAGGGGCCTTTTTCTACAGTTTTTTATGATGGTTTTTCATATTTCCTTACAATTGTGGATGATTACTCTCGATGTGTGTGGGTGTATTTGACGAGGCATAAAAGTGAAGTAAGAGGATTGATTCACTGTTACTGTAGCCTTGTTAATAATCAATATCATACATAAGTTAAGATAATAAGAACATATCATGGCAAGAAATTTTGAAGTTTTTCACAACTTAAGGCATTGAACATCAAGTTTCCTGTGTTTGATATTCCTTGGCAGAATGGCAGAGTGAAGAGGAAATTGCCTCTCACTTATTGGAGTGACTTCACCTTGCATGTTGTCTACTTGATAAATCGTATGCCTACCACAATTCTACACAATAAGACTCCCTATGAAGTCTTATATAAGCAAGTGTCATTTCTGGGGCACTTGAAAGTGTTTGGTTGCCTCTGTTACGCCAACACTCTAGTCCATGTCATAATAAAATTTTCTCAAAGAGCTAGACAGTGTGTGTTTCTAGGTATTCCTTCAGGTCTCAAAGGTTATAAAGTTCTGGATATTCATGACAAGAGAGTCTTTTTCTCAAGAAATGTTTCCTTCTAAGAGACTATCCTTTCTTTCAAAAATCAAGATCCCTCTTCTTCTATTTCTCATCCAACCTGTTCCAGTCCCTCTATTCCTCCTCCTGCTACAACTCCTTCTCTTCAAATACCATTTTCTCTTGTTCCAACTCCTCCTACTTCTATCACACCTCCTCCTCAGTTTAATTCATCTCAAGATGAAGGGGGGAATACTGAGCATGAAGATGTGGTGATCAATGATCATTACACGTATTCTGATTCTGATGAGCATGAAATTTATCCCCAAGCTGATATTGATCCAGATGATCCAGACACGCTTGTGAACAAAAAGTCTTCGAGACATATTAACCTGCCAAGCAAATACAGTGACTACCAGTTGAATCCCTCATTGAAGTTTGTAGCATTTTGCAATGGTCAAACCTGCACCAGGTATTCTATATGCTTGAATGTCAATGCTTTGAGCAAAGAGGATCAATATTATGCCTTGATTATAATAAATAAGATCAAGTCTAAGTCATACTATGAAGCCATAAAATCAAATGTATGGAATAAAGCTATGAAAGAAGAAATGTATGCCTTGGAGGAAAATTAGACTTGGGACATAGTTTCTTAGCCTCGTGGCGTGAAGGAAGTAGGCAACAAGTGGGTTTATAAGATTAAGCTTAACCTTGATGGATCATTGGAGAGAAACAAGGAAATGTTGGTGCCAAAAGGTATACACAAGTCTATGGGATTGATTTCCTAGACACCTACTCACTTGTGGCCAAGATTTGCACAGTGAAAACATTTCTAGCAGTTGCAAGTGTTAGACACTGGATTTTGGAACAGTTTGATGTCTCTAATGCTTTCTTACATGGAGACTTGGATGAAGTGGTTTATATGGACCTACATCTTGGGTTAAAATTTCCCTCAGGTAGTAACTTAAAGATGACTTGCAGTTTGAAGAAGTCATTGTATGGTGACTCGGTGAAACACAACTCCTTACAATGGCCAAGTGTAACCAATGAAAGAGACTGCAGTATAATGACACAAGTAATAAATATAGAATCCACGGGTATCTAGAGTTACTATTTCTCAGCTTCAGTTCATTATCTAGAAAACTAGATTAAGGATTTATTTACTAAACTACTCTACTAACTACTCTAATAATTATAGGTTGGGAACTGACTTAGGTATGATTTCCCCTAGCTCCTCAATTAGGTCCAAGTTGTAATTCCTTTTGGTTGTTTTACTGTTGATTATACTGCAGAAGATCCTAAATTAGCTTGGAATCTCTCAAGCTGACCAAGCCCTCTTAGACAGAATACTCGGCAGGCGACTAGCCTTCACCGGGATAGACTGCTAAGGCGATTCACACAGATCTCCACTACTCGAATGAATTCCAGTACAAAGAAATGAATCGACTGACTCTCGCACAACCAATTCACTACTATCAATCAAGGAAGCTCTCTTAACCTAATCAGATTCTATCTATCATGGGTTAAAGCAGAAATCAAGAGAATTTGATTAGGATTTAATTGACGCAATAAATCATGCCTCAATCAATTATAATCACACAATATAGCATCCAAAATTCATACAAGAAAGATCATAACACATGGAACTAGGGTTTCTCAAAACCTAAGTGAAGGGAAGTTACTACATAGAGAAGAGAGAGAATGCATAAATCTGATCTAGATCTTCAATCTCCATCTCCAAGCTTGATTCTCGAGCTCCAATGGTAAAGAAATCCTCCAAAATAGCTCCAAGAATGATCCCAAGTTGCTCTCTCTCTCTAGGGTTCGTCCCTTGGGTGTTTGGGATCCAAAACCCAGCTCTCCCTCTCCAAAAATCGCAAAACAGCCTTTATAGCCGAAGCTGGAATTTTGCACCACCAGAGACTCAGTTGTGCAGCTTCTCGCAGAATTCATCATGGCCAGAGACTCGACTGTGCATGTTCGTGCAACTTTCACGGCCGTGCATCTTCTCAGACTAGCCATGCAACTTCATCAGCTCTTCATTGCTCGTCCCGTCTTTGATGTTTGGGTCCTTTCTCCCTCATCCGAACTCTGAATCAGTCGATGTTTGATCCCAGACGCTCGTAGTCTCGTCCTATTTCTTTTCATACATAGATTACCTGATTATTTGTTCATAAAATGAGGTATAAATCCATTCTTCCTTGGGTCATGCCCGAGTTTCTTCTCCCGAGTCGCCAATTGATCTCCGATTGACTTGAAACTTGTGCCTATGCTTCACTTTGCATGCTAGGACCTGAAATGTGAAAAATGAACAAAATCTAGCATAAAATAGGCCAAAGTATGATAAATACCAAGCTAAAAAATCAAGAAATGATGGGTAAAAACATGTGCAAATTCAGTGTCATCATATGGCCTCAAGTAGGCATCTAGACAGTGGTTTGCTAAGTTGACAGGCTTCATGCTGAAGTTTGGATTCTCACAATCAGCATTAGACTACTCTCTCTTTACCAACTGGACCATGGGAAGATTATAGTGTTGTGAGTTTATGTTCATGATATCATCCTGGGGAGATTCCAAGAAGGACATAGAACAAGTAAAGGCTGCATTGACCAAAGAATTCAAAATTAAGCTACTAGGACCTCTTAAATACTTTCTCGGTTTGGATGTCAGTAGAACCTTGAATGTATTAGATGTTTGCCAGAGAAAGTATTGCTTGGAACTATTGAAGGATACAAGGCATTTGGAACCAAAGGGGTGTAAAACACCAATTGACACTGAGGTTAGGTTGACATCTAAAGGTACTTTACTGGAAAATGCAGAAGGTTACAAGAGACTAGTTGGGAGACTCCATTACCTGACCATTACAAGGCTAGACACTACATTTACAGTACATCAACTATGCCAGTACCAAAAGACACCATGTGTGGAGCATATGCAAGCAGCCTATAGGGTGTTGAGATACATGAAGCCCTCACCAGATCAAGAAATTCACTTTAGAAATGAAGCAGAACTAACAATGTCAGGTTACAGTGATTCAGGTTGGGCAAGTTGCTCTGTTACTCTAAGATCCATTACTAGATATTGCACTATGTTTGGCTCCTCTTTAATTACTTGGAAAACTAAGAAACATAATATTGTCTCGAGGTCATCTTCAGAAGCAGAGTATGAAGCCTTCACACTTGGTGTCTGAGGTTGAATGGTTGAAAAGGCCGTTACATGAAGCAAGAGAAGAGTCACTCAGGAATGAGTCCCCCTAGCTCCTTAATTAGGTTCAAGTTGTAATTCCCTTTGGTTGATTCACTGTTGATTAAACTGTGAAAGATCCGAAAGTAGCTTGGAAACTCATAAGCTGACCAAGCCCTCTTAGATAGACTATCCGACAGACGACTAGCCTTCACCAGGATAGAATGCTAAGGAAACTCACACAGAACTTCACTACTGGAAATGGATTCCAGTACAAAGCAGTAAAATAACTGACTCTCGTACAATCAATTCACTCTTATCGATTGAAGAAGCTCTAACAACCTAATCATATTCTATCTATCACAGGTTGAAGCAGAAATTAAGAGAAGCTGATCAAGATTCAATTGACAGAATAAATACACTTCAATCGATTAAAAACCAAGAACTCACTCACCACATTCGATGACCCTAAGTATCTAGATATACATAGTAACCCTAAGCTAGGGGGAGGGATAGTTCCTCGAAGTACCTGCTTTTAGGTTTGATCAATCTCTAGACTAGTGTTTCCTTATATCCTTCACTCAAAACCTCAAAAACCGATTAACTAATTAGCAAGTAGGAGGGAAGTAGGAAAAGGTACCAGGACCTGAGTAGAATACGACCTTGATTACCACTATACGACAATGTCGGTCTAGATTAAACTTGTCCTAGGATGGGATAGTTGTTGATACGTGCTAACCTCTGACAATAACCTACATAGATTCAAGAGATCAAGTATTCTAAAAAGTACCGACGGTATTTTTCAAAGCACGGTCGTGCTTTAGTCCTCACCTGCCCATAATTTGCCTTCCTTTAGAAATCTTCAAGGGCTAGCTCATCCATAAAAATACGAGCTGGATGTTGCTGAAATACGGTCGTGCTTTTGGGAAGCTTGACCGTGTTTTTCACCTTAGCCATCACCATGCTCGGCCGAATAAACACAGACAGGCATCACGAGAAGCACAATCGTGCTTTTGCAGGGGATGACGGTATTTTGTCTCCAGAACTGCCAAATGATCTCCAAATGACGCGAAACTTGCGCTTATGCCTTCTTCCACCTGCCAGGACCCGAAATGTGACAAAATAGAATAACCTAGCATAAAAAGGCCAATGAACCACAAATTCGAGCCAGAATAGTTAAAGAACACGGGTGTAAACATGTGCAAATACGATGCTATCCAATTCCCCCACACTTAATCATTTGCTTGTCCCCAAGCAAACCTGACTCAAACCAATGCAACTCTCTAGACCTTTACAAGAACCTGCAACCCCGATCGTCGATAGAGGACTTCCTAGGCCATTTAGCAACTTACGAGGTCAACCAATTTGCTAAGACATGCCCTATTTATCTCAATGCGAGTACTATACTAAAACTAGGATCATGCGAAGTAGTGGACCTAGGACATACAATTCATGGACAAAGAGACTCACATAACACAAAAACCAAGGACTCTTCGTATCGGGTTCTCTTTCCATCGTACTTCCTTCGTTGAAACCCCTTTTTCTTATGGTTTTCCCTTTTTCTTCATTTTCACACTTTCTAGCGGTTCCAAACTGCATTTATTATGCGCGGTGGACCCTTATTGGTTGAGAAAGAGAAATTTCTACTCATCTGTCGCTCGCCAGAGTGTAACACCTTAGGAAAATCCCACATTGACAAAGCACGGGAGAGATCCATGGTTCATAAGTAGGAAACCGGCCTTAACCGACAAGACGCGTTTTGGGGTGAAATGGAGGAGTTGTTATGAGAACTCCGAAGTTAAACGTGCTCAGTGTGGAGTACAACAAGGATGGGAAGTCACCTTGAATCGCACCCCAAGTCGAAAACCATGAGGGTCTCGGCCCAAAGTGGACAATATCTTCGTCGGGAAAAGGTTCGGGATGTTACAAGTGGTATCAGAGCCTCTCTGCGTCCCTCTTGAACGATGGTGGGGCAAACCTCAACGAGAGCGTTAAGTCCTAAGGGGAGGTGTATGTAACACCTTAGGCAAATCCCACAGCGACAAAGCATGGGAGAGATCCATGGTTCATAAGTAGGAAACCGACATTAACCGACAAGACGCATTTTGGGGTGAAATGGAGGAGTTCTTATGAGAAATCTGAAGTTAAACGTGCTCAGTGTGGAGTACAAAAAGGATGGAAAGTCACCTTGAATTGCACCCCAAGTCGAAAACCATGAGGGTCTTGGCCCAAAGTGGACAATATCTTCGTCGGGAAAAGGTTCGGGATGTTACACAGAGTACTTTGTTTAACTCCTTTTTCTCAACTCGTGTGGAGGGTCAATGAAATTATGGGGGTCGGAAGATCTATCCGTGCCCATACACACAAAGTGGACAACATCCTCGAGTAGGCAAACAGTTCAACTAGTGAAATTTTTACTTGTACCAGAGACGGCTTAGCTTCACCTTGTAGGACTACCCCACTAAGGATCACTAAAATCTCTTCCAAAACCCGATTTTGTGCAATGAACGATGCCACACACGTTGGGCTTGCCCCATGTTTAAAATTTCAAATTTTTGGCATGGAGGACCAACTGCTTTTTCATTACACACATTGAGCACACTTTTACGATACATGAGTAGAGACACAACACACACAGAGTCATCGATACCACATGAATCAAATGTCCTAAAGCCATTAGTTCACACAATGAACCGACACAACAAAGATAAAGATAGGACAGATCTTATACTTCAACATCCTCCATAGTGTTACAACTATCTCCCAAGGTTGCATGATACCATAAAGACTGTCAATTCAAAGCATACCGAGCAGGCAATTATAAGGGACATGTAAATCATAGATTCAAACAGTGGATTAGGCTCCAAGCACACATACATATGTTCCAAAAAATACAAAGCACCCCCCCCCCCCCACTTAGATTCGACATTGCCCTCAATGGAGTAGAGGGAAGAGGAACGATGCTACCGGGAAGTGATGATTGGAAACAGCGACTGGAAGGCAGACCAGTCAAGAGCAGGGGACTGGAGTGGGACCAGTCAAGAGGCACATAGCTAAAAACATCAAAACACACTAGGTGATAGAAACCATAGTACCAAGTCTACAATCCAAAGAAAATGAAAACGAAAACCGACACTGAGTCTCAGTCTGGAACGAAAGAAAATTACATAACCCAACATCCCATGGGGATTAGTAGGAGACAACCTAGGCCTCATCGCCTCCATCACCAGTAAGAGGGGGTAGTGATTCTCATTCCCTTAGGAGGTCACCCAGGGGTAGTGAACCGCTGTAGGGTCCATGTTAAACTAGTGTATCATGTAGTGTTGCCCTGAAATGTTGCAGCGGTGACCATCTCTCTCCCGATTGAGTCGGCTGCTAAGGTGCTCTTGGCTCGCGAGAATCAGCTTGTTCTAACAAGCAATGGCTGCTTGCTGATCAGCAATCGAGGTAGAGGGGACAGCAGAAGGCCCGACAGAAGAGCTGGATGGGGCAGCTGCAGAGAATGCTCCATGTGCCTAGGCACGGTGGGTAGGTCGACGGGGACCACGGCGAACTCTGGTATCACTCGCCTCAAGCAAATCAGCTTCATCTGGTGCACGAGGGGGAGGCCGAGGATGTCGCTTGATCCATGTCACGTCCCCGTCGTGTTAGAGAAAGAGCTGGCATCGAAGAGTCTCCCGGCTAAAAGGTGTCGGGGTTGGACAATAGTTAGGCGGTGAGGTCGATCTCGTAGTACTGAGCCAGAGTAGTGATGACCGGTCCACAAACAAGAGCACGACCGCATCTAGTAGCTTTGGGATCTTCCTAGCAAGGATAGACGCCAAGTTGAGATTGTCTTCCTCCCGGATCATCGAGTGTAGGAAGGACAGAGTCCGGAGCTGGAGGCGACTGGTTGAGCCCCTACTGGGTGCGTAGGACTTGCCCAACAGCTAGTTGAGGATGCGCCATTCAGGATGGAGCTGAGTCGTTGTGGTTTGACCAGGTTGGAACATAGCCCCTACGAACTCCGGAAGGCATATTCTCTCGAAGAAACGCTGGTCCTGGAAGGCAGGAGTATCTGACAGCTCAATGGCTAGGCGACAGGCAATTGGAAGAAGAAGGTCCATGGCCCTAGCGAAATCATCATAACTTAGGGAGTGAGCCTCCCCTCCCAAGGTGAAGTGGATGGCGTTGCCGTGTGCGCCTATCCTGGTATAGTAGTGCTGGAAATTGGGGTGAAACTCCCATACAAATTCATGATACTTAAGCTTAGAGAGGCAAAGGAGGCGCCGCCAAGAATAGGTGCGAACAGTAGCCTCCATTGTCTCTCGAGCACCAAGATCCTCAAAGACCTCAAATTCGAGGTTATGATGCTGAAAGAAGGCGTGGGTTTTGAGTTCCCGTAGAGTCTTCCTTTGCTCTCGACTAAGCATGTCCCGGTAAACGTTCATGGTCCTGCATCTAAAAAGCAAAAGTGCGCACACAAGCCGTACATAGAAACAAGATCAATGATGAGGAACAAGATAAATCGCACTTGGAGCCCACGAATAGAAAAATTCAGACAGTGGACTAGGCTCCAGGGTGAGGTATACATGCACGTTCAAGACCAATTCCCACAATTCGAGCACCATTAAACTCGTTCTCATCATAGGGGAACCATCCAGAACAAAGTCCACTATTCAAAACATGCAATAGTAGGCCAACACGGTCAAGTTAACATAATGATAGCAAGGCAATCATACAAAACCAAAGGCCTATTGAAATCATTCAATCGAAACTCAAATCCCCAAATTTATCACCTAGAACCTAGGTATCAATCCTCCAAAATTAGACAAGATAAGAAGGAAACACACCTGGAGGCTCAAGTGGATACCACTGGAAAGGCGAGGAGAGGATGAAACCACACGAAAAGTTGCCGAAAGATCGTCGGAGAAATCGACGGAGTCTCGTAAAAAATTCGTCGTCGTCGACTGATAACCGCCAAAATGGAACAAAACTCTAGGAATTTGGCACCAGGATGCTAGGAACACAGTGGTGGTCGCGGATTTGAGTTTAGAGGTCGGAGGAGGAAGATAGGGCCAAAAAACCGCCAGTGAGGCGCGATTTTCCAATGACCGAATCACCGCTAAACAAAACCAAACTTTCGAGGAAGGGGAGCCCAGCTGCGATGAGCACAGTGGTGCTTTTGGTTTTGAATTTGGATGCCGGAGGAAGGAGATACCGTCGAAAACCACCGGTGAAGAGGGATACATGGTGCGAGTTTCCAGCGCCGGGGGGGGGGGGGGGGAGAGAGAAAACAGGAGCACGGCCGTGCTTAATTGCCCGCCAGCCGTGCTTTTTATGCCACAAGATATTCCCCTTCTTGGGTCGAATTACAGGCAAGCGGGTTAGAAATACGACCGTATTTAATACCCCATTTGCCCGTGCTTTTAAGGTCGAGAGCAGGCGGGAGAGAATCGAGAAATATGGGCAAGGTGGATGAGTAGCACGATCGTGCTTTTCCTCCTCGTGCCTGTAATTTTACTGCTGAAAGTCCCCTGCAAAAATTTCCAAACCACAATTTCAACCAACCAACCCCATTCGTGCCCCAGATCGAAAAAACACACGACAAGAGACAAAAACACACCACTCGGGGTCCCAAAATAGGTTCCAGACAGACTCAAGACAGACTATATGACTCAAAACCAAAAATCAAATGAGTAAAGGGAAAAGAAAATGCAACCCGTAGTGGAATTGCCTCCCCACAAGCGCTTCTTGACCGTCTTGTGGCTGGACGTAGAAGGAGGAACTAAGGGTCCTCGAGCTTGATCAGCAGCTCAGCGCACTCTACATCACCTCCCAGATACAGCTTCAGGAGTTGGTCATTCACCTTAAACGTCCCAGTTTGAGCATTGCTGATCTCCACTACACCATGCAGGAACACCTGAGTGATTGTGAATGGTCCCGACCACCTTGAACGCAGCTTGTCCAAGAAGAGGCTCAGGCATGTGTTATAGAGCAAAACACGATCGCCGACATGAAACTCTTTTGGGCCCTTCAACCGAGCGTCGTGAAGACGCTCGGTGAGCTTCTTGTACGTACGTGGTAATGCCATTCTTCCAACTCCAACAGCTACAGCTTACATTCAGTGCCTGCAACACTCAAATTCAGGTTTAGCAACTTAAGGCCTTGTGCTCTAGCTCAACAGACAAGTGGCAAGTCTTTTCAAATAGACAAGCTGATATGGTGAAGTGCCAATCGGCGTCCTGTAGGTTGTCTTAAATGCCCACAGAGCATCATTGAGTTTGGTGGACCAATCCTTATGGGACTGATTTACCGTCTTTTCAATTATGTGCTTTAGCTCCCGGTTTGTCAGCTTGGCTTGACCATTCGTTTGGGGATGGTAAGCCACCGACACCTTATGCTTAACATCATAGCGAGAGAGGAGTTTAGCGAATTGCCCTTTAAAATGGGTTCCTCTATCACCTATGATGACTCAAGGTGTCCCGAACCAGGAGAATATCTACTTCAGAAATGAGTAGACAAGATATGCATCATTAGTGGACATGGCTTGAGCTTCTACCCACCTCGAGACGTAGTCCACCGCAACCAAGATGTACAAAATACCAAAAGATGAAGGAAATGGTCCCATGAAATTGATGCCCCAAACATAAAAAAATTCACAAACAACAAAAATATGTTGGGGCATCTCATCCCGAGAAGAAATGTTACATGACCTCTGCAGCGGTTGCACTGTCGTGCGAAGGTATCAGCATCCTTGATGAGTGAGGGCAGTAGAAGCCCGACTGTAGCACCTTTCGTGTCGTGCGGTTCCGCCATGATAACCGCCTGTGGGTCCTTCGTGGCATTGAGACAGGATGTCTCCCATCTCATGCTCCATGATGCATCAACGGATCACGCCATCTACTCCGTTCATGAAGAGGTAAGGATCCTCCCAAAAGTAATGCTTCAAGTCAGAGAAGAACTTGCGTTTTCCGTGAATAGTCATCCCCTTAGGTAACCGTTTGCCCACCAGATAATTGGCAAAGTCAGAATACAAAGGGGTAACACTCTCCACCAAGCACAACGCCAACAGTCGCTCATCTGGGAAGGATTCACTGGTCTCTTCCACAAAGTTGTTCATCAGAGGGGCTTCCAACCGCGAAAGATGATCTGCAACAACATTTTTGGCTCTTTTCTTGTCCTGGATCTCGATGTCAAATTCCTGTAGCAGCAGGATACATCGGATTAGTCCAGGCTTGGCGTCTTCCTTGGTCAACAAATTCCAGATAGCATAGTGGTCTGTGTAGACCACGACATGAGACGATACTAGATACTGTCGGAACTTGTCAATAGCATACACCACTATGAGCGTCTCCTTCTCGGTGGTGGTGTAGTTCTCCTATGCACATTCAGGGTCTTCGATGCATAGTAGATAGGCAAGAAATTCTTGTCGTGTCTTCGACCCTGAACAGCTCTGACTGCATAATCGCTCTCATCGCACATCAGCTCGAAAGGGAGAGACCAATCAGGAGTGACCATGATGGGTGCAGGGGTAAGCTTCCCCTTCAAAGTCTCAAACGCAGCTGTGCACTTTGGAGTGAAATGGAAATCTTTAATAAATCTCATATAAAAGCCCGCATGACCCAGAAAGCACATAGAAACGGGAGGATGCATCTTGTTGATCGTCTGAATCTTTGCGCGATCTACCTCAATCCCCTGCTTAGAGATCTGATTCCCGAGCACAATCCCCTCAGGAACCATAAAATGACACTTCTCTCAACTGAGTGCCAAATTAGTCTCGTCGCACCTCTTCATGATAAGTTCAAGGTTATGAAGAGAGTGAGAGAAGGAATCTCTATAAATTGAGAAGTCATCCATGAAAACTTCCATGATCTCTCGAATTAGTCGGTCAAAGATAGCCATCATACATCACTAAAAGATCGCCTGTGCATTGCAGAGCCCACATGGCATCCTCCAGTATGCAAACGTATAGAAGGGGCAAGTGAAGGTGGTCTTCGCCTGATCCTCTAGTGCGATCAGGATCTGGAAGTAACTGGACATGCCATCCTAGAAGCAGTAGAACTCATGTACAACCAACCTCTCTAGCGTCTGATCAATAAAAGGTATCGGGAAATGGTCCTTCCTGGTGGCATCGTTCAGGGGCTGGTAGTTGATGCAGACACGCCAACTGGTCATAGTCCGCGTCGGGATTGGCTCATTCTTCTCGTTCGGAACAACAGTCATCCCTCATTTCTTTAGGACCACCTGAGTGGGACTGACCCATTTGCTATAAGATATAGCAAAGATGATCCCGACATCCATCAGCTTCACAATCTATGCCCGAATAACTACCTCCAAGTTAGGAGTCAATCTCCGCTGCGGCTTGTAGCACTCGTGCAACCTCGAGTAACTCACTGCCCTTTTCATTTTACAACTTGACCCAAAAGTAATGAAACAAAATGCCGACTTGAATGGACATATTGATCCATTCACCTGGTAGTTGTTGTCGAAACTAAATCCAAAATCGAGATATCCTATTTAAAATGTAACACCCTAGCTCGGCCGAGCACTAGTTTTATTAAAATGCGCTTGAAAAATAAAATAACCAAATCTTAAATTGCAGGGGGAAAATTTTCATAATAAAATACTGAAAGCACACTCTTGTATTTCAAAGCAAGCCCTAACAAGTGGGCAAACTCAATACTTAAAATCTCAAAATGATCTCCAGTTTATACTCACAACCATAAATGTAAATAACTAATAATCTCTAATGTTGTTGCTACTGAAAACCTTGACTAAGCATCCTTTGTGACGCTTATACTATCCTCCTATAGTTGGCTGCCCTCGAACTGGCTGCTCACTAACTGCTCCTCTAGCTCCTCCTCTAACTCTTCAAACTGGTGAGTGAGATGTGGTCAGTCTACGCCCTTACGTTTAACATCTTATTAATACTTTATCACTTTACGTAACTTAGTGCAAGTTTTTTTGTACTTCCACTATTAAAAATCTTAAACTCTTAAAACTGTATTCTTATAGCTCAAATCTCCACTTAAATTCTTGACTGACACGGGGATCCCTCACTAACTAGTCTGGTTTCCAACTCATACGTATGAGAAGCCATCCAGGCTTTCCTTATACTTAAACTTATCGTGGAAGGCTCTTCTTCCACGATTATCAAGAGTATAACTACTACTCATCTTAAAATATCTCAAGAGCATAACTATTACTCATCTTAAAAGTCTCAAGAGCATAATTGCTGCTCTATCTCAAAATCTCAAATGGCAACGGACTGGCGCTAGTGACTAAAAACTCTTAAAACGATTTCACTTTCTTGAAGGTGAAGTACTTCTTTAAAAGAACTTGTTTCTTAAACTTTAACAATAACTCATAAAGTAAAGCTTTAAAGTAAATAAGGACTCATACATATTCACTCTAATCAAAGCTCATCATTCACAATCACCAATCATAAGCACAATCAAACCATGACAATCACTTCAATAAAATACTTAAAACTCGTAATACTTGGAAAAAACACGTAAGGCGTAGAATTTACCCCCTTTACACTCACCCTAATACCGATATCTGATACTCTATGCAAGGTTGTTGTAACTTGGTATCCACCCTTGGTCCTCTATTACTGCTTGAAGTCTCCTCCCAAACCGCATGTAAGCAGAAACCAGAGGGGTTGCATCATTAATCTACTTAGATCCCTAAAATGCAATTCAAAAAGATTTGCTACGAAGAATTAGGCCTTGTCAACTTATTCATGCTAACTTCCCATCGTTAGTGGCATTCCTTTTAATTCATCAGAAACCCCAAAGGAGGACAACCTTTTCCATTATCTTCCCACTACCCACGTGAATTCATTCATGCATGTATGGCTTAACAATTATTCATTCTAGCCAATACCAATCGTCCTCACTTCATTGATATTGCCCACCATTTTCATATCTCATATCAACTTCAATTACTTAAACTTCTATTTGCACAATTTAGCCAAGCCCTGATGCACATCACTTTCATCAAAACAGCAGCCGCCGCACCATCATATCCCATGAGAACTGAAATCTCTGATATCCACCTTGCACCAATTTCAATTTATTTGTGGTTACTCTAATTACCTGCTCTTGTTATGGCATGAGAATGGGCTCTACATTACAGATGAGGAAAAGTGAGCGCCTTGAATTTGTTGGCTACACTTGATTAATAGGCCCACACGCAAGGACCCATCATTCCATCCTTTCTTCGCCAAATATCTCAGAAATCAAATAGGGGACGAATTGAACTCTTGTCCAAATGGGTTTGGTTATCAGACGAATCTCTTGAAGATTCATGTCCAATGGTTGACCCAAACCCATTCATTTATTTTGGGTTAAACCTGTCCCTAAAGTTGGGGTGTTACAATTCCTCCACCCTTAAAAAAAATTTCATCCCCGAAATTTGCTCAGAACTCATCATTCTATCAACACCCTTCTTAAACTTCCTTCCCACGATCATTTATTTTTACCATAACAACTTCGTTGGTAACCTTTGATCATATACATTTCTTTAGCTTGTAACACTCGTGCAACCTTGAGTAACTCACTGCACTTTTCATTTCACAACTTGACCCAAAAGTGATGAAAGAAAATGCCGACTTGACTGGACATATTGATCCATTCACCTGGTAGTTGTTGTTGAACCTAAATCCAAAATCGAGATATCCCATTTCCTCCCCACTTAGAAAAATTCCGCCCTCGAAATTTATCCCTCGTGACTACTCCAAGCCTCTTTGTGGTAGTGCTTTTTTTGCTACGAGAATTTTTACTTTCTTTAACTTGCACGATATGAACTGTAAATCCTTCTGTCCAACCATAAGTGGGTATCATAGACTAGTAGTTCACTCATTTCGCACCCCTTGATACATTCATTGAAGGACTAGATTTGCTAATTTCTGGACCCCTGTTAGATATCCCTTCTCTCAAACCTTCTTCTCGGATTTAGTGGGTCATGGGTGCTCGGTTTTAATCACGGGGTTTGGAAATTCGTTCCACTCCTTATGGACCTCCGTTTGTCCATAATTTGGCGCCTAGTCTTGGAAATCTTGTTGTCATAGTGACTTGAACATCTGACTCACTTCTACTGTCACTCTAGGAATTGGCCAAGTGAAACCACTTCCTAAAGCAAAGTATAGCGGGTTTGGGTTTTAATGTCAACCTGGGTCCTAGATTTGATGACTACTCGGTGAATTCTTGTTATCTAGCAATGAAACTTTAATGCAAGTCTAAACTAACAAACAAACAAAGCAACTAAACGGTTGTTTTAAGGTTAAGAGAGGTCACCCGGATATGGTTCCCCCTAGACTGCAGTTAAGCCGGATTACAATTACCAAGTTCAGTTTCTATGATAGTTATACTGCAGAAGGTTCTTAAGCAGTCTGAAGTCTCGAATAAAGGTCTCCAGACCCTCTCAATCTGAGTCTCTAGCGGGCGACTAACCTCCACCAGAGTAAACAGATTGAGGCCCTAACGAACAAAACCTCCACTACCGAAGTGAATTCGGTACAGAATAGTGAGTTGGCTCCTCGAATAAAGTCACCAACTCCCTACCTTCAATCAAGGATGCTCTATCAACCTAGGCAGATATTCTCATTCTAGGTTAAAGCAGAAACAACAGGAATTTGATCAGGATTCATGCCATTCAATCATTCAAACCTCAATTGAATAAAATCAAATCATAGAATCAGTACTTGGGTTCATACAATCAAACCTAACATACAAATCTAGGGTTTCCCATACCCAGATGAATGGGAGAACTACTCCATGGAGAAAGAAGCAAAAGCAGATTCAGACGCGGAATTCATACTGTGAAGGATGGATTCCTGCTCCTGGACGTTGATTGGCACTCCTCCAAGCTCAAGCCAAGCTCCAATGGTGATGAAGATCAAGCTAGGGCACTTGGAGACTCTTGTTCGTCGCTTTCTCTCTCAAGGAATCACTCTATCTCTCTCAAACTCCAATCCCCTTCTCTTTTGGCTGAAATGTACTTAAAAGGGCATCACTGGGCAAAACACGGTCGAGGGCACGGCCGTGTTCTGCCTCAGCCCGCCCGTGTTTTGCCAAGGGTTAATTACACGGCCAGCTTGTTGGTGAAAACACGGGCGTGCTTTTGTGGGGCACGGCCGTGTTTTTCCTGAACCCTGCTCGTGTTTTGAGCTCGTGTTTTTCAACTCAAATCAGCTCTCGGCAGTAAAAGCACGGCCTAGGAACATGGTCGTGTTCTGCTTTAGGTGTGCCCGTGTTTTCGTTCCAGCTTCACCGAATGACTTCTGAATGCCCCGAAACTCGTGCTTAGCCTTTCTTTTGACGCCTGGGACCTGAAATATGACAAAATAGCACAACCCGGCGTAAAATAGGCCAAAAATACACAACGGATAAGAACTAGGGGCGCAAATATGTGCAATTACATCGTTATCAAATTCCCCCACACTTAACCGTTTGCTTGTCCCCAAGCAAACCAAGTCAGACACAAGGTAAGCTCAAAACAGGGCATGTCATATCGGCACAAAACACGTGGATCATACTGGCTTTCGATCATTAACACATGGACAACCTCAATGACAACCTAGACAACCACCACAGATGACATTCGAATGCAGTAAAATCGAGCAAAGGAAGAGTCTCCCTTCTGTTCACCAACCAACATAGACTTGACTCGACCATTTATTCAAAACAGTCACTTCATGCACAAAGCTCAAGATATCAGAATTAAGACCGAGCAATCTAGGTCCTCACTGGGATAAAGAGTATAGAGAATAAGAGAAAATGAATCGCTCACTCTCGACCAGTGGGGTCAGGACAATTTGATGCAAAAAATGCGCATGCTTAATCTCTCAATCCCTAACATCTCTTCACCATGAATGCAGCCTCTAAGTGCTAGAGTTCACATATGGGGTGTCACCACTAACTAATCCGGAGGTCTTAGACACAGGTTCAGATGACTGGCTAGGGTCTTGGACATGGGGAAAAGGCTTTTTAGGTGGTGGAAGTATTCATACAGCACAAGGTTCCACATTTCCAAACCCGATAGACTCACCGTCAATCAAACCCATAACTTTCTTTCTGCTATTCTGCATTACTCAAATTCTTCAGAGCACAAGAGCGAAGGAGGTTACATAAATGCTAGTATTTCTAAGCCAGACTGCTAAGAAACACTACTAAATGGGCATTACTCAGATTTTTGGTGGTGGCTCTCTTTTGCTTTCATTTTTTTTTCTTTGCTTTTCTTTCATTACTTTTCATTTCTTAAGAGAACCACCACCTCTGCACATTTTCAAACACCTGCCCAACTTTTAAGCACTACCTCCAACCCTCACATTACGTTTAGCAGAAACAGCAGAGAACATGTAAAAATCACTCTGTGGAACCTTCTAAAAGATGCAAAAGGGTGACTTTTCATTGAAGACCGAAAGAAAGGAAAAACACACGGCTCAAAGGGGCTGACTAGGGGTAATGACACACCAGGACAGTCAATTTGGTCGTGGGCTAATCCTATGCCTCCATCATTTTAGCTAATGACAACGTGAATGCTGCACATCATGGAAGAGGAAACTATCACACAAGAAAGAAACGAGCAGGCTCAAGTCTCACATGGCTACCTATATGCTCTATCTCTTGTTTTGATTCCCTGAACTAGATGCATAAATGACTGTCAAAAGCAAGTGATCAAACCAAATCACATTTGGTAAGAAAACAGTTGAAAAACTGAACTCCTACACAATTCTACTGCTCATCTCAGTCATCACAATAAGTTGTCTAAGTCACACTCAAGTTGTCATGCATCAAGTCAAAAGCCATTCAATTCACTAATCACATCCACAGTGCCAATACGATCAAACATCAAGCAAACAGCCGTGCTTGGAGCCCTCAAATCTCAGTATTTGGACAGTGGAATAGGCTCCAAGCACACATATATACGTTCCAATTTATACAAAGAACCCCCCACACTTAAATGCGACAATGTCCTCAATGGAGCAGAGGTAAGGGGAACGATGTTACCGTGAAACAGTGGTCAGGAACGTTGACTGGATGGCGGACCAGTCAAAAGAAGGAGGCACAGAGCTAGAGACAACAAAAACACACACACTGGGTGATAGAAATCATAGTACTAAGTCTACAATCCAAGATAAAAAAACAAAACAAAACAAAACAAAACCACAAAGCATGGAGTCTCAGTCTGGAACACAAATAAAACACAGAACCAGCTCTAGAAGGCATCACCACCATCGCCAGTGGGTGGAGGGTACTCATCCTCAAACCCCAAGGACTGCACGAATGGGTAGTGGACCGCGTTCGGGTCCGAGCCCAAGTAGGACATGATGTAGTGCTGCCCTGACATGAGACGACGCCCTCGGTCCCGCTCACGATCAAGGCGGGTGTGGAGGCGCTCCTGGCCGGCCAGGATGCGCTCGTTCTGCTGAGCGATCGCCGCCAACTGGTCGGAGATGGGCACCACCACTGGAGGAGGAGACCCTGGAGAAGGAGACCGGGGAGCAAGAGAGGGGCTCGCGGGAGCCTGGTCATGACGGACAGCCCGACGGGGAACGCGGCGCCCACCAGCGGCGCTCGACTCGGGCTGGTCGCCCGCTGTAGGTAGAGGTGGCTGAGGAAGGCCCGCGATCCAATGCACGCGCCCGTGACGAGCAACCAAGTGCTGGTGGCGGAGAGTAGCCTCGCTGAGTGGGGTTGGCCCGTGGGCCAACATCATCCCTATGTAGTCAACCCCGAAGCGGCGGGCCAAGGCGGTGATCACCGGGCCACATACAAGGCTACGAGTCGTGCTGCTGGCGGCTTTAGTGAACGTCCGGCGAGCACAGAGCCCAGTTGGATGGTGTCCTTAGAACGACCCATCGCATCCATGAACCAGAGTGTCCGGAGTGTGACCCAGTTGGATGAACCTTTGCTGGGTGTGTAGGAAGTGCAGAGCAGGTGGTTGAGGGTCCGCCACTCCGGTCGGAGGAGAGCGGCCCACGTCTGGCTGGCCACGTACTCTTCATCCGCATTGTTCGGCAGGCAAATGTGCTGAAAGTACGTCTGGGAAGCGAAGTCGGTGGGATCAGAGAGGTCCAAGCGTAGTGTCGGCCCGCCGGCCTCCCGGGAATTGAGATCAAGTGCATTGGCGAACTCCCAGTAACTGAGGGAGTGCTCCACCCCGCCGAGTGTAAACTGAACTGCATCAGCATGGTTGGAGTTCCCCTTCGAGTTGTGGTGGAAGGTGGCGTAGAACTCCCAAACTAGCTCCTTGTAGGTCGGCTCGGCGAGGGTGAGAAGACGCCGCCAACCATAGGAGCGGACCACGACCTCCATCTGTGGCCTGGCATGAAGCGCCTCGAACACTTCCCAATCGAGGTGCAGGTGCTCGGCGATGTTGCGGTGACGGAGGTTCCACAGCATATGGCGCTGGGTGATGCTCATCTGGTCGAGAAACACCTCCATGATCCTGCAAAACACAAGGAAGTACAAAGGGTACACAAGCAAACGGGGTCAATGTTAGGCCAAAACCACACTGGGAGCCCTCATATCGAAAGATATGGACAGTGGACTAGACTCCCGGCGAAACAAGCATACCCATCACACGAGAATGACACAGCAAAATACACCGGGGACCCTCAAATCGAGCGATTCGGACGGTGGACTAGGCCCCCGGTGAAACAAGCATACCCAAAACCGTACTAAATAAGCACCAATCGATCCACCACACAATAAACCACACTAGCCCGCATACAATGCAACATGCAAATGGTAGGCCGAATGACTGAAATCCAGAGGCAAAAATAGAACAAACAAAGAACGTCATCGGCCTACTCAGTCATCCCCAAATCATTCCACAATCACAAGTTCTTCACCTAACTCTAGGTATCGATTCTCCATAAATGAAAGAAAAGACAAGGAGAACACACGTGGAGACGCAAGGAGAGACCACGAGAGAGGTGAAAAAAGTGAAAAAAGGCACCCAAAGTCGCCGGAAAACACACCGCCGGCGACCCAACCTCGGCCAAACCAGCCCAAATCTTTGGGTAATGTGCTCCTCGACACCAGGAGCGTGGGGGCGTTCGCGGTTTGTGATTTGGAGGTCGGGAGAAGAAGTTATGGCCGGAAAATCGACGGAGAACATGAAAGGGCCGAGTTTCCGGCGAGAGGGGGCTGGGAAAATTTGAAAAAAACTGATCTGGTGGGTGGGGGGAGAAAAATAGATTTTATAGGGGGGGGGGGACAGCGAAACACGGGCGGGGCAAAGCACAGCCGTGTTTGGCCTGCTCCGCGCCCGTGTTTTTACTGCCGAGGGCGAATTGCTCTCTTATTAAAACACGGGCGGGCTCACTTCAAAACACGGCCGTGTTGTCAAAAGTCCAGGGCCCGTGCTTTTTATGCCACGGCCAAAATGGAAAACACGGGCGGGCAGGGGCAAAACACGGCCGTGTTTTGGTCCCCTGGCGCCCGTGTTTTTACTACCGAGCCCAAAATGCCTTTTTTCAAAATTTCAAACTCAAACCACCAAGACTCATTCGTGCCCCGGCTCTAAAATTTACCCAATCACACATTAAAAAGAACCGCCCGAGGCACGAAAAACTTTCCAGACTGACTCCAGACAGACTCAAAGACTCAAAAATCAACAAAAATGAAATAAATAAATAAAAACAAAGGGTAGAAATGCAAACCGTGGTGGGGTTGCCTCCCCACAAGCGCTTCTTTACCGTCTTTTAGCTGGACGCCCATGGCGGAACTAAGGGTCCGCGAAGTCCACTGCCAACTCCGCACGTTCGACCTCGCCTCCCAAGTACAGTTTGAGATGATGGCCATTCACTTTAAATGTTCAGTTTGCGGGTTGGCAATCTCGATCGTGCCATACGGGAACACCTGTGTGACCGTGTACGGTCCAGACCACCGGGAACGGAGTTTTCCGAGAAAGAGTTTCAGGCGAGAGTTATAAAGGAGAACTCGATCACCAACCTGGAACTCTTTCGGACCCCGCAACCGTGCATCGTGCAGGCGCTTAGTGCGCTCCTTGTACAGCTTGGTGTTCTCATAGGCGTGATAACGCCACTCTTCCAGCTCCAACATCTGCATTTTTTGCTCAACACCTGCAACACTAACATCCAAGTTTAGCAGCTTAAGGGCCCAGAAGGCCTTGTGCTCTAGCTCCACAGGCAGATGGCATGCCTTTCCGTAGACCAGCCGGTACGGTGAGGTACCAATGGGCGTCTTGTAGGCAGTGCGATATGCCCACAGAGCATCATCGAGCTTGGTGGACCAATCCTTGCGGGATAGGTTCACCGTCTTCTCCAGGATACGTTTGAGCTCCCGGTTCGTCAGCTCGGCCTGACCACTGGTTTGAGGATGGTAGGCCACGGACACCTTATGAGTTACACCATAGCGAGACAACAATTTATCGAACTAACCCTGGAAATGGGTGCCTCGGTCGCTTATGATGGCTCTAGGTGTCCCGAACCGGGAGAATAGTTGCTTCAGAAAACCACAAACACGTCTAGCATCATTAGTGGGCAAATCTTGCGCCTCAGCCCACCTAGAGACGTAGTCAACAGCAACAAGGATATAGGTATTACCAAAAGATGGAGGGAAGGGGCCCATGAAGTCGATACCCCAGACATAAAAAATCTCACAAGTTATAAACACATTCTGGGGCATCTCATCACGGGCAGAGATGTTACCTGACCTCTGGCATCGGTCGCACCTGCGTGCGAAGTCGTCTGCGTCCTTGAAGAGCGTGGGTCAGTAGAAGCCCGACTGGAGCACCTTCCTCGCCTTGCGGTTCCCTCCGTGGTGACCGCCAGCAGGTCCTTCATGACAGTGAGATAGAATGCCCTCCATCTCACTCTCCATAACACATCGACGGATGAGCCCGTCGGCTCCGATCCTGAAGAGATGAGGGTCATCCCAGAAGTAGTACTTCAGGTCGGAGAAGAACTTCCTCTTGGCGTGAGTTGTCATCCCCTTGGGCAGCTGCTGGCCCACAAGATAATTCGCAAAATTAGAATACCAGGGGGTGACACTCTCCACCAGGCACATCATCATCAGCCTCTCATCTGGGAAGGAGTCGTTGATCTCCTCCTCGAGGTTGTCCGTAGGGGGTGCGTCCAACCGGGAGAGGTGATCGGCAGCAACATTCTCCACTCCCTTCTTGTCCCGAATCTCAATGTCAAACTCC